GATGGTAAGGGAGTGGAGGGAAGGGGTAGGTGAGGTGGGTTTGACAGCGATACTTCTTCTCCTCTCGTCTCTACCTGATATTTTCTCTCACCTGTTACACTAGATGATTAATTGACGTTTAGGATTGTGCAGGTAAATATGTAAATTGTACAGGTGTGTCGTTTAATTATCGTATACAGGTAGAAAATATAATAATTCTTGTAGGTTTCACATGGTAGTTCACCTGATGATTAACTACCCTAATGTTACTTATGGCTTTAGGTTAGGTTAGGTCAGGTCAGGTCAGGTTAGGTTAGGTTAAGTTAGGTTGAGTTAAGTTAGGTTTATGTTAAGTTAGGTCAGGTTAAGTTAGGTTAGGTTAAGTTAGGTTGAGTTAAGTTAGGTTGAGTTAGGTCAGGTCAGGTTAGGTTAGGTTAAGTTAGGTTGAGTTAAGTTAGGTTTATGTTAAGTTAGGTCAGGTTAAGTTAGGTTAGGTTAAGTTAGGTTGAGTTAAGTTAGGTTGAGTTAGGTTAGGTCAGGTCAGGTTAGGTTAAGTTAGGTCAGGTTAAGTTTGGTTGAGTTAAGTTAGGTCAGGTTAAGTTAGGTTGAGTTAAGTTAGGTTATGTTAAGTTAGGGTACTTAATTTGAAGGTGAATCAAGGTATGGGAGGCTAAACATCAGATAAATTATACTAAGAGTGAGGATTAATCTTCAAGTGATCCCAAATTACACCTGGTATTTGTTGACATCTCTTCCTACACAACAAAACACACTCAACAGGCACTCTAATCCCCTCTCCCCCACAACACGAAACATGATCTACTCTAAAGCTTCTCTTGCAACATTCTGAGCCGTGTGGTGCGCCTGTGAGAGATGTAAACACAAGGAGTAGGTGGGAGAACGCATCTGTCTTTCCTGTCATAAGCAATTACCATCTGTTTTCGTTATCAAATAAATGCCATGGTTGTTTATTTTTTATGGGGGGTGGGGAGGTGGTTGGAGGGGGGTTAGGGAGGGGTGGGGTGGGAAGGGTCTAGTGGTGAGGGGGAGGGCGGTCAGGTAAATACTGTGCCATCAATTTTAACTCATATAAACAAATGCTTTTTTTGTGGTCAATATATAAGCTTGGATAATGGGAGGAAAATGGTGATGGTGATAGGGGTGGTTGTGGTGATGATGTGCTGGTGCTGATGATGATGATGATGATGAAGATGATGATGATAATTATAATGGTGATGGTGCTGATGTTGAGGAGGAGGAGAATAATAATAGTGATCATAATGATAATATAATGACTTCCCGTTAAAAGTTCCTTATATTTATTTTTTAAACAGTTATGAGGGACCCCTTCTTAGCTCCGGCCTCCGATATATAAAACTCTGGTAAGATTGATGAAGAAAAAAATTGATAACGTCTTTTTATTAAAATTTCTGCGTTTTTTTTGGGGGGGAGAGAATTTAGAAAATATAGAGGGCCCCGTCTAGTTCCATAATGTGTGTGTGTGTGTGTGTATGGCGACTTGTGGTGTAATGGTCAGCATCCGCGCTTCACAAGCCAGCGGACCCGGGTTCGATCCCCGGGCAGGGTGAAACTATGGGCAAGTTTCTTCACGCCATTTGCCTCTGTCTACCCAGCAGTAATTGGGAACCTGGATGTTAATCGACTTGCGGATCGTATTCCGGGGTAATGGTTAGCCAGTGCAGTTGGCGAGTTGTCCGGTATTGACACTGGGGCATGCATCGTTAACTTAGGGTGTGGTTGTTGTGTTGGCGACAGCTTCTACACCTTAAACAAATTCCCGAGGGGCTACCATTATATATGTATGTATGTAATTGAAGTGGTTGTGTATGCGTGTAAGTACTGTACTGATACGAATGTGTATGTGTACAGTATAAATATGTGTAGTTGCCAGGTTCAGTACAACACGGCATAGTACATCACAGCACATTACATCACAGCGCATTACATTACATCACAACACAGCCCAACACAGCACATCACAGCCCAACACATCACAGCCCAACACATCACAGCCCAACACAGCACATCACAGGGTCGTGGCTACAGCAAGGAGACATCGTCGGCTTTGTCTCTCAGATGAAAACATTCTTACCCTCACAGAATCCCCAATTTTTTTTTCTTTGTAATTTCCGGAACCCAAATTGTGGTTTACAGAATGAATGTCGTTTTTAGTATAATTATTTTTTAGTGGAATTTAGTTTTTTACGGCAATTTTTGTTGTTATTGTTATTATTGTTGTTATTATGTCTTAGTATTATTTATTATTTTTATTATTATTTTTTTTTATTGTTATTAATATTATTAGTATTTGGGGTATAATTGTTGTTGTAGAATTGTTATTTGCATTATTTGTTGAGGTATAATTGTCGTTTGAAGTATAATTATTACACTTTTGAAGTATAATTATTACACGTTTGAAGTATAATTATTAAACCTTTTAACATAATTATCATCTGAGAGTAAGTACAAATTATCACACTAATATAATCTCTCTCTTTTTCTGTATAAATTCCAGGCTTTTAAAAAAACACGGGACAAGCGGCCGTATTAAAATAACAATAGGGACATGGCCGTATTAAAATAAGAACAGGGACATGGCCGTATTTTGTCTGTCGGGATTAGCTTATACGTCTCCAAGCTGCTGTGGTGAGGGCCGGAAGGAGCTGTGTGCGTGTGTTTGTTTTTTTCTGTGCTTTTATGTGTGTGTGTGTGTGTGTGTGTGTGTGTGTGTGTGTAGTGTGTGTGTATGTGTTAGTGTCTGGTGTGTGTAGGTGTTTTTTGTGTGTGGTGTGTGGATGTGTTTGTGTATGTTTGTATGTGTATTTTATCTGTTTTTCTCTGTGTGTGTGGCTTAATTTGTTTGTGCCTTTCTGTATGTGTGTGTGTGTGTCTGTTACTTTGTCTGTGTGCGTCTATGTGTCTGTCTGTGTCTGTCTGTCTGTCTGTCTGTGTGTCTGTCCATCTCTCCGTCTGTCCCACCCGACACTGGGACGTTAACATCAGGTATTGAAATAATTTTTCTTTTTAAACCAGTAATTTGTTTGTGATGCAATTTAAAAAAAAAACGACAATTCAATTTATTTATGTAGACGTATTTCAAAACTCCTTTTGTAGTCGGGTATTGTAAAAAAACCATTAATTTGGGCTTTGAGTTTCTATCAATGCTTTTCCTTTGTAATTTTTTCGTAATTTAAAATTTTTCAGATTCTTTCATTATTAGTATTTCGTTTTGGTATTTTTTTTTCACATTTTCATTTTAGCATTTTTACATTTCATCTTAATTCATTTAATTTTTAGCATTTTTTTTTTTACATTTCATTTTAATTCATTACATTTTGGGGCATTTTTACAGCATTTTCTTTACATTATTTAAACATTTTCCTAAACGTGGTGAAAATCTCGTGTTATGATGACATTTGTTACGCCCTCATCATCCCTGTGTTTGTTTGTCGTGTTGGAAAATGTCGGAGATTTATAGAACAGCTGTAAAATTCCTTCACTAGAGCGTCGGTTGTAGTGTACCCAAGAGATATATATGTTTAACCCTTGAGTACGATGAGTTTAGTCCCCTTGAGTACAGTGTGTTATCCTTTTAGTGTACTCATATATATGTTTAACCCTTGAGTACGATGAGTTTAGTCCCCTTGAGTACAGTGTGTTATCCTTTTAGTGTACTCATATATATGTTTAACCCTTGAGTACGATGAGTTTAGTCACCTTTTGAGTACAGTGTGTTATTGTCCTCAGATGTCATTCCCTGGAGATGTGAGCCTAACACAGCCCGATAACATCATACCAACACAGCCCAGAGATGTGAACTTAACACAGCCCGGAGATGTGAACTTTCAACACAGCCCAGCATCATACCAACACAGCCCAGAGATGTGAACTTAACACAGCCCGGAGATGTGAACTTTCAACACAGCCCAGCATCATACCAACACAGCCCAGAGATGTGAACTTAACACAGCCCAGAAGGTGTATCTTACTGTTCCTCATATTTTGGTGATGCCTCGCTCATTGGCTGCCAAGTTGTCCGCCTCATTTCGAGTCATAAGATATTTGTAATGTCCCCAAGTCTTGTTGTGGAGCAGGTTGTGAGGAGTGGTGGTGGGGGGTTGTGAGGGTTGTGAGGAGGGGGGTTGTGAGGAGGGTTGTGAGGAGGGTGGTGAGGGAGGTGAGGGGGGTTGTGAGGGAGGGGGTGGTGAGGAGGTTGTGAGGAGGGTTGTGAGGAGGGTGGTGTGAGGAGGAGGAGGTTGTGAGGAGGGTTGTGAGGAGTGTGGTGAGGGGGGTTGTGAGGAGGGTGGTGAGGAGGGTGGTGAGGAGGGTTGTGAGGAGGGGGTTGTGAGGAAGGGGGTTGTGAGGGAAGGTGTTATGAGAGAGTGTGTTGGGGAGGGTGTGGTGGGGGAGGTTTAAAAAATTAGAGGAGGTGTATGAGGAGGGGAGGGAGGTGTATGAGGCCAGGGGGTGGAGGCAGGAGGTGTATGAGGAGGTATGAGGCCAAGGGGTGAAGGTAGGAGGTGTATGAGGCCAGGGGGTGGAGGTAGGAGGTGTATGAGGCCAGGGGGTGGAGGTAGGAGGCACCATCACTCACAGGACCAGTGAGGCGTGCAACAAGTTAGTCTTTTATCTCCGGGTTGGCATTGTTATTGTTGTGGGCAGCGAATGTGTTGTTGTTGTTATTGTGTACAGACGAGGTCGCGGCGATGATGGTGGTGGCGTGGGTAAGGGGCGCCCTATTGACAGAAAGGCGTGCGTAAGTCTGGCGCGCCTCCATGTGACCTTAAGCCTCTCGAGGAGGAACACTTACATACCCAAGACCCGAAACAAAAGTTGTCGGAATGCGCGAGTGTGTGTGTCTGTGTTGGTGTTGGGGGTCGTAGCTAGCGATGGCACTTGCTTCTTCTGTCCCCCTCCCCCCTCTCCCTCCCCCTCCCAGAGTGCCAGCATCCCCTCCGCTCGCCTGTCTGGCAGCTGTGAGGGCCAGTCTGGCAGCCACAGTGCCGTGCTGCTGGGTGCTTGTATCTCTGGCACTAGTTCACTCACAGCTCAGTTGGTACCGGACGGTCGCCGCGCGTGGAACCCCGCCACGCTCCCCGCCGCTCTTCTCTACATAGCGTCTTGTTGCTCTCTCAGGTAGCGGCCGCAGTGCGCTATCCCGAGACACTTTATTCCCGCAGTGGTAGAGCAGCACCTGGGACTGTCTTTATCCGCTCTCCACACACACATACACACAGTCTCCCACGCTTCGCTCAACTCATTGTGAAATTATGAGTGTCAATAGACTGTTTTAGGAGATGGCGTGTGTGTGTGTGTGTGTGTGTGTGTGTGTGTGTTTGGATAACTTTGGATAAGTTTATTGGCCGGGAGCCGCTGAATTGTTTGAACTCTCGTGATGATGTGACTTAAACTACTGATGACTGTTCTCGGTGTCGTGGTAGTTTTTTAACTATTATTAGTGGCTTCGGAACTACTGTCGATGGCTCCTGATATGTTCTTATGTGGACAGAAAACACCTCAGACTGACAACATTGATGACTGTCTTAACATCGAAAACTTTACCCTGAATGTTACAACAAATACAGTTTTCTTATTAATAATGAGTGCAGAGACTGTAAAGGTGTTATGTTATGGTGAAAGTAGTGTAAAAAACAAAAAACAAGGACAACAAAGAAATAGTTATCAGCATTAAACCACAACTAGAAAGAAGACTAAACTCCCTCCCTCGAAATACATCTTATCAGTTAGGTCAGGAGGGAAAGATGGGACTCCTGAAGAGTCATGGCGGAGGAGACTTTACCTGTCGTGTGTGTGTTGTGTGTGAAAACGGGAGGTGACGAACAGTATTCAAAGGGGCTGTTGTTACTGTTTTTTATTGATTATAACCTAACCTAACCTAACCTAACCTATAACCCCCCCAGGTAACGTTATTAATCAGGTGAAATAAGCTGGGATGGGGAGCTAATATTCAGGTAATCCAGCTATGGGACTATACTGCACTCGAGCAAGGTGCCCACTCACACTCGGTATTTTTTTTTTTTTTTTAATTGGGCACCCTCCTACAGCCTTGTGCAAGGTGAAGCGCAGAAGCGTTTACAGTGCCCAACAGGGAAGCATGCTAAGTTCATGCTTGCCTTTATGTCTCATGAGTTAAGGGCGTAGAAGCCTGAAGAGTCAATGGTTTATGTCATCAAGTTATTGGAAGCGCCAACAACTTGTCCCTGAATACGAATTCGCAACTTTCGATTTACACCAGGTACCTACTTTACTGCTAGGTGAACAGGGACTAATGGGGGCTAGGAAGTGTGTCCAAACAACTTCCACCGGCACGGGAATCGAACCCGTGGCATCTCGCTTGCGATGGCAAGAGCGGTACCACTCTACCACCAGCACCCCAAACCCCGGTATTGCCTCTCTCAAAGCTGTGACTTCTGACCTCTTGACCCCTTCCAAAACATAGCACGTCTTGATGGGTGGGGGGGAGGAGGGGAGGGGCTGTGACCTTGACCTTTGACCTCTTGTAGATATTGAATATGACCACAATTTCCTTCACCATCATTCTACATAGTGACCTCATCGTGTGTCCATCCTTCCCTGGCGGTCGGTCGCTGGTGAGGAGCTCTCTCTCTCTCTCTCTCTCTCTCTCTCTCTCTCTCTCTCATCACTCCTGGAATATTAGTGGCGTTCACACATCCAAACAAGTTTAATATATCGAATGTGAGTTTAGCTGATAGATATGGTGTGTGTGTGTGTGTGTGTGTGTGTGTGTGTGTGTAGACAGGAAAAAACTCCCTCAAATGGACCAAAATCTCTTCCACTCTAGTCAGGAACGGCGGAGATCGATCTGACTCGCACTACCAGAAAGACATTATTTTAGAGAACGTATTTGTGTGTGTTGGTGAGGACGTGTTTGTGTTGGTGAGGACATGTTTGTGTTGGTGAGGACGTGTTTGTGTTGGTGAGGACGTGTTTGTGTTGGTGGTGAGGACGTGTTTGTGTTGGTGAGGACGTGTTTGTGTTGGTGAGGACATGTTTGTGTATGTGTTGGTGAGGACGTGTTTGTGTGTTGGTGAGGACGTGTTTGTGTATGTTGGTAGAGAACGTGTTTGTGTTGGTGAGGACGTGTTTGTGCTGGTGAGGACGTGTTTGTGTTGGTGAGACGTGTTTGTGTGTGTTGGTGAGAACACGTGTTTGTCATTGGTGAGGACGTGTTTGTGTTGGTGAGGACGTGTTTGTGTTGGTGAGGACGTGTTTGTGTTGGTGAGGACATGTTTGTGTATGTGTTGGTGAGGACGTGTTTGTGTTGGTGAGGACGTGTTTATCATTGTAGGTTGGAATTTTGGTTAGGTTAGGTTTTGGTTAGGTTTTGGTTAGGTTTTGGTTGGGTTTGGTTAGGTTTTGGTTAGGTTAGGTTAGGTTTTGGTTGGGTTTGGGTGAGTCGTAGACGGTGAAGGTAATAATGATGTTTTGTATTTTTATTTTCAATCTAAGTTGTAAGAATTATTTTAGTCTCTCTCTCTCTCTCTCTCTCTCTCTCTCTCTCTCTCTCTCTCTCTCTCTCTCTCTCTCTCTCTCTCTCTTCCCTTCAGTAGTTGTCTTCCTCCTCTTCTCTTCTCTTCTCCTCCTTCTCCTCCATCTCTTCCTCTACCTCCATCTTCTTCAATTAACTATATCGGTTGTGTTATCGATTCAGAGTGACTTTTTAGGTATAGTCCATCTTTAGGGCTTTCTGCTGTCTCTTGATGGTGCAGCAGGGGCGAGGAGGAGGAGGTATAGTCCATCTTAGGGCCTTCTGCTGTCTCTGATGGTGCAGCAGGGGCGAGGAGGAGGAGGTTAGTCCATTTGGGCTTTCTGCTTCTGTGGTGCAGCAGGGGCGAGGAGGAGGTATAGTCCATCTTTAGGGCCTTCTGCTGTCTCTTGATGGTGGCAGGGGCGAGGGGAGGAGGTATCGTCCATCTTTAGGGCTTTCTGCTGTCTCTTGATGGTGCAGGGCGAAGGAGGGTATCGTCCATCTTTGGGCTGTCTCTTGATGGTGCAGCAGGGGCGAGGAGGAGGTAAGTCCATCTTTGGGCCTTCTGCTGTCTCTTGATGGTGCAGCAGGGGCGGGAGGAGGAGGTATCGTCCATCTTTGGGCTTTCTGCTGTCTCTTGATGGTGCAGCAGGGGCGAGGAGGAGGAGGTATCGTCCATCTTTAGGGCTTTCTGCTGTCTCTTGATGGTGCAGCAGGGGCGAGGAGGAGGTATAGTCCATCTTTAGGGCTTTCTGCTGTCTCTTGATGGTGCAGCAGGGGGAAGGAGGAGGTATAGTCCATCTTTAGGCTTTCTGCTGTCTCTTGATGGTGCAGCAGGGGCGAGGAGGAGGAGGAGGGTATAGTCCATCTTTAGGGCTTTCTGCTGTCTCTTGATGGTGGCAGGGGCGAGGAGGAGGAGTATCGTTCATCACCACCTTCGTTCGGATCCATCTCGGTGTTCCTCGTACTGTTCTTCGTCTTTGTCTTCGTCTTCGTCTTTTTCTTCCTACTTCTTCGTCTTTGTCTTCGTTTTTAATCCTCGTCTTTGTCTTCGTCTTCCTTTGTCTTCGTCTTTGCGTGAATACATAATCAAGTTTCGCGAAGTTGCAGTATAGGTTCGCGGTATATGCGGTGAAGTTATAGCTGCTTGAATATACGCTAAACAGAGAGAAGAGAGATGGACGCTCACACACAATGATTGAGAGAGATGGACGCTCACATACACAGTGGAGAGAGAGAGAGAAGAGAGAGACAGAGACAGGAGGAGAGACTCATACAGTGATTGAGAGAGAGAGAGACAGAGGGAAGCTCACATACACAGTGATTGAGAGAGAGAGAGTCATCAAATTATGTGTTTACACCACTATGACGGCATTAGTCAAGCGTGATATTAGCAATGCAAAAAAATAACAATACTCTGCCACATTTATGATTTGTCCACAGTTTCAGCTATTCACTCCTCCCTCTACCCTCTCCTTTCCCCTCTTCTCACCCTCTTCTTTCTTCCTCTCCTCTCTCCCTCCTCCACCAATCCCCTCTCCACTTTCCTTTTCTCTCTTCCTCCTTTCCCCCTCCTCTCCTCCTCCCTTCTCTTTCTCTCCTCTCTCTTTCTCCCACTCTGCTGACCCTTTTCCCCTCCTCCTTCTCCCTTTATCTCTCTTCCATTCTTTCTACTCACCTCTCTCCTCAGCCTTCCTTCTCCTTCTCCCTCTTTTCCTTCTCCCCCTTCCTTCTCATCCTTCTCCCCTCCCTTCCCTATCCTCCCCTTTCTCTCTCTCCCTGCCCTTCTCTCCCTATCCCCCCTCTCCTCCCTTCCCCTATCCTTCCCTCTCCTCCCCTTCCCCCCTATCCTCCCTCTCCTCCCCTTCCCTCCCCTCCCCTCTCCTCCTTCCCCCTATCCTCCCTCTCCTCCCCTTCCCCTATCCTCCCTCTCCTCCCCAACAGTGGCCTAATAAATCAGTGTTTATTGTATCTCATAAAACAGGGTTACAGTATTGACATAATTATTGATACACAAGTTTGAACTATGATTCATAACATTACAAACATTATATAGCTTTTTGTTGGTATTACTGGCATTATTGTTGTTATTGTTGATGTTGTTATTATTATTATTATTATTATTATTATTATTATTATTATTATTATTACTGTTGTTGTTATTATTATTATTATTATTTATATTATTATTATTATTATTATTATTATTATTATTATATTATTATTATTATTATTATTATTATTATTATTATTATTATTATTATTATTATTATTTATTATTATTATTATTATTATTACTGTTGTTGTTGTTGAGTTTTAATGTTAATTATCATCCAGGGTTTTACCTCGAGTTAAAAACGTTAATGGTGACCACTGGTGTGTGAGGCAGCTGACCACATAATTAAATTCCGCGTTAGTACCATTCACAGTTTTAACATAGATGTGATTTAACAGACCACTGGATACCCACCTAGCGGCCGAGTGTCGAACTAACCCCACCCCACCTAGCGGCCGAGTGTCGAACTAACCCCACCCACCTAGCGGCCGAGGCGTCGCTCTAACCCCACCCACTAGCGGCCGATTGTCGAGCTAACAGCACTTAGCGGCCGAGTGTCAAACCAACCCCATCTCACCTGGCGGCCGAGTGTCGGACTAACCCCACCCTAGCGGCCGATTGTCGAGCTAACAGCACTTAGCGGCCGAGTGTCGAACTAACCCCACCCACCTAGCGGCGGGTGAATCTTGTTTGTACAGTTGTGAACAAAATTCCCCAAACACTTGGCACTACCTGGCAACAACTTCTGTCTCATATAATATGATTGTTTTATATCTTACAATAATGTTTTTCATCACAAATTATCTTGGTACTACAAAATTGGACCCCCCAAAAAATTAATAGAAAGAAAAATTAAGAGAAAATATCTTAAAATTCCAATCTGTCGTTACTTATGATCTTCAAGTACTTTATAGATATTTATCAGGTGTTCAAGGAATTTTGTCCAGCAACTGTACATTTCTTCCATCAGTTGGTTTTATAGCTTTCTGCTGATTGGTTGTTTTTACCTGAGGGAGGGCAATATGAGTCCTGTCCTGTGACTGGTGGAGCAGAGGGAAGCAATAGGAATTATGTCCTGTGATTGGTGGGGCAGGGGTGAGCAATATGAATCCTGCCCTGTAATTGGGGGACAGGGGTGAGCAATATGAATCCTGTACTGTGATTGGTCTGATACTAGGAGAGAATTCCTCAAAATATTGTGTTGCTCTCATATGAAACACTTGGGATGTTAATATGTTGTCGTGTGAGTGTTGGTAACTGCTCGTAACTTGTGTAATATGATTTATGGTATGTATGCGACTTGTTGCTGGAGGAGTGTTAATGAAATCCCCGGCCTTTGGTGTGTGTGTGTGTGTGTGTGTGTAATAATAATAATAATTAACGGTTTATTGAAAGAGCTTGGCAGCCAGAAGGCTGAAAATATACAGTTACATATTTGGGGAATGGGTTTCGAATTACAAATAATATACAAGTAACATAAGTGACATAAATAAGATATATAATAACTAGATGGGGGAAAAGCTCAAACTACAGTTCATTTCAACATAGTGACAGTGCAAGTAGTATTTACTGGGAGTGAATACACTGGTTTATTACAAGTTATTGATAATTTTACAATGGTTGGGACTGGGCTGTTCTTATAGCGATCAGTTCGTGCACGTATGGGCTGGATGCGGTTGTGGTGTCGAACAGCAATTCTCGGGCTAGGGATCTCAGGTGGTAGTAGGAGCCGGTGTCAGGATGGTGTAGAAACTTCTTACCAAATTGCAGATGAGGTCGTGGTGATGGTCAGTGAGAGTCAAAGTCAGTGTGTTGAGCGCTTCTTGATATGTGGAGTAGGAAGGGGAGAGAATAATCTTCCATGCCCTCTTTTGCACTTTTCTAGGTGTTTACGCTGTGTGGCGACCAGGTGGGAGGCATAGGTGAGCTTAGGAATATGAATGTTGTGTAACACTGAGGAGCTCAGTGCAGGAACTCCGAGGACTTGAGTCGGCGGAGGAGGTGGAGACGGAAACTGGAGGATTTGACAACTTCACTGACGTGTGGTTTCCAGTTTAGTTTGTTGTCTATGGTGACGCCGAGGAGCTTCGTGGAATCTACAACCTGGGTGTGTTTGGACCTAAAGTAATGGAAGGAGGTGGGAACATGTGTGTGTGTGTGTGTGTGTGTGTGTGTGTGTGTGTGTGTGTGTGTGTGTGTGTGTGTGGGGAACAGACAGACAGAAAAACAGACAGTTCGGCTCTGAGATGGCGACGAATGGTGAAATCGCAGTCTCTCTCTCTCTCTCTCTCTCTCTCTCTCTCTCTCTCTCTCTCTCTCTCTCTCTCTCTCTCTCTCTCTCTCTCTCTCTCTCTCTCTCTCTCTCTCTCTCTCTCTCTCTCTCTCTCTCTCTCTCTCTCTCTTCCTATTATCGCCTGGAGGTTGTTGGGTTGTAATGGTTTGGTTGCAAGAGTCGGTCTGGTTGGGGTGGCCCAGTGCAAAGTGCCCGGTTGCAAGAAGTTGCCCAGTTACAGAGGTGGCTCGGTTGCAAAGTGGCCCAGTTGCAGAAGTGCCCAGTTGCAAAGTGGCCAGTTACAGGGTGGTCCGGTTGCAGAGTCGGCCCAGTTGAGGTGGCTCGGTTGCAAAGTGGCCAGTGTAAGAGATTGGCTCGGTTACAAAGTGGCCTAGTTGTAAAATCAGCCCGGTTGCATAAGTGGCCAGTTGCAAAGTGGCCGGTTGCATGAAGTGGCCAGTTG